TTCGTCCGCTCGGGAGTGGAAGCCTTCATCCTGGGCGACGTGCCCCTGATGTCCAAGATCGCCGAGGCGTACTGCATCGAGATGGGCTCCAAAGGTCCCCAGTGGAGGGCAAACCCCCACCCCTTCATCTGCTCCGTGGAGGACCCGACCAAGCAAACCAAGTTCAAGGGCATCAAGAGCTACATCTCCTACAAGCTGACCCCCAGCAACATCAACTCGCCCGTCTACCGGCGGTACAAGCACTTTGACTGGCTCTACAACCGCCTCCTGCACAAGTTCACGGTCATCTCGGTGCCCCATCTGCCCGAGAAGCAGGCCACCGGGCGCTTCGAGGAGGACTTCATTGAGAAGCGCAAGCGGCGCCTCATCCTCTGGATGGACCATATGACCAGCCACCCCGTCCTCTCCCAGTACGAGGGCTTCCAGCACTTCCTCTGCTGCCGCGATGAGAAGCAGTGGAAGCTGGGCAAACGCCGGGCGGAGAAGGACGAGATGGTGGGCGCCAGCTTCCTCCTCACCATCCAGATCCCCACGGAGCACCAGGACCTGCAGGACGTGGAGGACCGCGTGGACGCCTTCAAGGCCTTCAGCAAGAAGATGGACGACAGCGTCCTGCAGCTGACCAATGTGGCCTCGGAGCTGGTGCGCAAGCACGCGGGGGGCTTCCGGAAGGAGTTCCAGAAGTTGGGCAACGCTTTCCAAGCCATCAGCCACTCCTTCCACATGGACCCCCCGTACAGCTCGGATGCCCTCAACAACGCCATCTCCCACACGGGCAAGACGTACGAGACCGTGGGGGAGATGTTCGCCGAGCAGCCCAAGAACGACCTGTTCCTCATGCTGGACACTCTCTCTTTGTACCAAGGGCTCCTCTCCAACTTCCCGGACATCATCCACCTCCAGAAAGGTAAGGGCGGCTTCTTCTTCCCTGGTCATGACCTCTCTTGTGTGATGGTCCCACATGGGGAGCGGGATGGAGATGCGATGAGGAACTCCTGTGCTGTGCGGTGATGGGGATGAGGATGGGGATGAAGATGAGGACCATTGCTTGTGGCTACCAAGGAGCATGATCCCTTCCCTGGTCACCCCAGGGACAATGCCGTGGATTCTGTAACTGCTGCCCAAAGTGCTGGTTGGAGGGGTCAGTGCAGGCATCGCGCCCGCCGAGCCACGAGCCGTTGGCTCCAGGGTGACCTGCCCAGCACCTCGTGTCCCTCCTCATCCTCCTCTTGTGCTTGCGGGTCCCCTGGGTGTTTGGGGGGGGGTCAGGACGGAGGAGAGGGGGCGAGCAGTGTCTGCTGTGGCCTTCCCGGGGCAGGGCAGGGGGGACAGGCAGGGCTCCGCGTCCCCTTGCACCCAGGCGCCGGGGCGTGACGCCGGCGGGGAGCCAGGTGTGGGAGCGGGACCAAAGTCCACGCGCTCCTCCCTGCAGCGGGGAGGGGACGCCTGTGCTGGCGTCCCTGGATTTTGGGGGGGCAGAGGGTTTTCCCCAAGGCGAAGCCAGGGCTGTCCGTGTCGGAGCAGCCGGGGGTGCCCGTGCATCACCCCACATCCCCGAGCGGGAAGGGGATGAAGGGATCCAGCCCTGGCCGCTG